GAAAGAAAAAAAGGAAAAACAGACTTGAAACTAATGATTCAGTTACAGTACCTGTCATGACCGTCATTCATCCCATTCTGACTGCCCCCACAAGATCCAAGAGCACTTGTATCGGTGAACCATACATCAGCAAGGTATGATTATTTTACTTGGAGTACTCAAGTGTCATGGACACAGGTATTTCATTAGAAGAAAACACGTACTTCCAGGGAGGCACACACAGGATGCAGTTTCTTAAGCATTGAAGTACGCCCTAACCAAAAAAGATAATAGGCTCTCCAGTGAAACTTAAGTACATAAACCAAGACTCTTCCTACGCTGACTCACTCACCATGCTCCAGCTATACACCTGATTCACTCACGTTTAAATTCAGCGTGGCTAGATGGCAACTTCCAGGCCACATCTGGTACACTCCATGCTAGCTTTTTCGCTTGGAAAGGTGGAAAACAGCTGTTCCAGCAGCAAGATAATCACAGAAACAATTAAGTTGGAAAAGACCTCTTAAGATCAGGCAGTTTGTCAACTCATCACACCATGCCCACTAAACCACATACCCTAGTGTCACACCTCCATGTCTCTTGATATGCTGCAGCCTGGATACACCAGCTTCCCAACACCTTCAGCAGGGATTTGGAAGGATGCATTTCTCTGCACGCACTACCTGAAGAAGAACTACAGTAGCTGTGCTCAAGGAAGTTTTACAGAGAAGACGCAATATCTGAGCCTGACCAAACTGAGTAAAGGTGAAATGAACAGTGCTCGCTACACCAGAGATGTTCCACTAGACAACTCATTTCAAACATCTCAAAGCATTTGAATGAATATTAAGTCACCTCCACCAGCTTGTATATAACATTTTGAAAATACTGTATGGTCACACTAGTATCAGGAAATAATGAGTAAGGATGCCTAATAACATTTTATCAAGTAAACTTCCCTTCAACATCTCCCATGCTGTGGCAGCAAAGAGAACCACAACTGCAGGTTTAATAACACCAACAGCACATTTTCAGCTTTGTCAACTGTTTGTTCAAACACCAGATAAATAGTATGATAGAACTTGCTGCACACAACAGCATGCACAGACTTAATTCCACTTTCTGTGCAGTGTATTAGTTGTATTGCGACAGATATGCCAAGGAAAACAGAACCAAATAAGCAGTTATACAGTCTACCACTTCAGGTTCTGGGTGCTTAATTGTTTCTGCTATTAACAACACTGACTAGGAGAAGCATCACAGGATGAGGAGGAGTTAAGAGTGTAGAAGTTAACCACTGAAACATGAGCTTTGTGAGAAGAGAAAGTTAAGAGTAACACAAAGCAACAAGGCTTCTCACCGCTGATATGCTCTCCTCTGCCTCAACACAAAGAGGGATAGGCTGGGACAAACTTCACCCAGTGAAAAATGAGCATCTACCTTATATAAGCTTTAGCATACACAGGCTAAATGGAAATATAACACTGAAAACTTTATTATAAGTACAGTAATATCAATATTTACATCAGGATAACAAACACACCCAAGGAAAATAAAACATTAATTTCCATGCCCCAATGAATACAGACTTATTTACTGCAGAAGTGTAGGAAAATTCACTACAGTGATGTACACTGCAACGCATACTTAGTAATGCTTGTAAAGCTGTGCATGATTTCTTCATATAACACAGCAGTGAACACGCTAGAAAGCCTCAGCCTCTTGAGAGAACCACTGAAAAACAACTTCTCCCAAATAAGTTGCTCTGCTTTGCCATGTCTCTTATGTTCCAGCCTGAAATTTGAATTTCCAGTTAAAAAAAGAAAAAGAAAAAAAAAAAAAAAAAAAGAAAGAAGAACAACACAGGCCACACAAATTACTATCTTGAGAGAGCAATCCCTCCCCAATGACCAACACACCTGACACCCTCTATGTCCTTACTTTGGCAGTTTGTTATGAATTGGACTTGGTACTCAAGTCTGCTTTACTGCAGTATTAACAGCGCCCTGCTCTCTGACTGCTCAAATCCCAGCACTAAGGACACACTTGGCTCAAAAACAAGACTTTGAGATAATGCAGTGGATGTACATTATGGCAGAAGAACATTTTGAAGGCTTACATTAAGAGATGCACACGTCTCCTGACTGTTTTCAGTCTCTTACGTTTAGCAACAGACTTGGCAACAGCCACGTGTTTACCCGAGGAACTTGGGAGCTAAACTGTCAGAACACAGTTATCAGTCGGCAGCTCTGAGCACCACCTGCCTGTAGGCCAAACAGCATTTCATTCTCAAGTCTTTTACCTCCAAACAAAACCGCTGACTGAACTTCTGCCTCGGTAAAGTACACCCTTCTGCTTGGTAGCACGGTTATCACTTCACGGTTGTCACATCTTTGTAATAGCTGCTATATCTCTACTACCTGCTGCATATTTTAGAATGCATAAGGGTTTTTCTTTACCTTTAGAAGATTCTTACAAAACATCACTGCTTATCTGAAGTTTCAAGTTGTGACAATCAGATGTACTATTTTCCATATTTATTCTTTGAAGGAACAGGATAGCAGAAAGCTAAGATGAAAGCGAAGCAAAATAGATTCCTTTTGGTGCATCACAACACTAATTAGACATTTAAATATCTTGTGACTCAATGCTTGATTATTAAACCTCTGATTGCATTTTTCCCTAGGGAAAGCCATTTTGTCAAGAGAAGGGTTCTGAACTCCAACTTTGTGTTCACTCAGAATTACATTTATGCAGAACTCAAAGCAATGTTACAAGCCTATTTATAAAAAATACTACAGATGACCACCATCCTCTCCCCCTAGATTCCTGAGAAGGCTTTACCATCTGTCTGTAAAGAAATGGATGATGGCATTATTTTCATAAGCATTAGAAAAAAGCCTGTTTAAAAAAAGTCTTCTGTTGCTACATAATACAAATACCTTCCAACTTCCCAAAACCCTGCGCAGCACAAAGTCAGGGAGAAGAATGCAGCAGCGCATTACACCTACGACAGCCACAACTTCAGCAGACTGCTGTCAGTCTCCACTGCCAAGACCACTAGAAAGCCCAGGAGAAAACTCAGTAGAGTGAGAGAAGGAAGGAAGTTTGCCAAGTTTGTAGAAAGAAGAAGTGGGAAGAGTTTAACACCAACCGTTTTATTTAAGAAGCCACTGAAAGGACTCCGAAGACACCTGTGTTTACTGGCAGGGAACAGATTTCTCCTGGGGGTGTGTCTGTGCATGTAAGCGCATGCAAGTGCATGCACACACATTTAGAACAAAGGCATGAGCAAGCTAACTACAGAAAGTGTTTACCTGCACCTACAGCTCTAGGGTTTAACCCTCAAAGCTTCATTTTGCTAACAAAAGCACTGCATTAACCACAGAAACGAAGTCCTATAATTAATGTTTAACAATTTTCCCTTGCTTGTGACTACTTTCCCTTCACTAGTACATATCTGTGGGCAGACAAACAGATATTCCATGTGACCCCAGAGATTTATAACTGCAAAGTAAACAGTGAAAAACAGTTGTCTGACATTTACACAAGAACATATGCACATGTGGCTACCTGTTCACCGAAAAATAAACTCCATAAGCGAGTCATCATCAAACAAATTTTGGAATTCTGGGGCAAGCAGTAGGCTCTCGGGTCAGAATATGCTTCCTATGTGAAAGAACGAAGCCTACCTCAGCACAGCATTACTGCCTGAACATGACTACCTCGTGGTTACCACAACAAAATGAGAAGCAAACCTCCAACAGTTCTGTGGACATACAGAGTTATTTGTGACACGCACAGGGCTTTGAAATATTCCTTGAGCTACATTAAAGCGGCAGGCATTGACACAGAAGGGAAAGCAAAAACTCTGGAGCAGTTAGCGGAGACAGCAACGTGCCAAGGGCAGCACCCTCCAGGAATCGTTCGTCCTCCTTGGTGCTCCATAAAAAATTCACAGCACCAGCTAACTCGGCACTACAAGAGCAGAGTACCTCTGCAGAGCCCACACATGTGTATGTTTCAGACAAGCAGCTCAGAGTTGGCTGCATCTGGAAGCACACAACTTCACAGCCAACGCAGCCTGACAGCAAACCGAGCCGCAGGGGTGCATAGCTGTCACATCCATGTTCCCCACAGACCTAAGCCCTGTCGGCAGCGCTGCGGCTCCCACCTGCCGCACTTCATGTGCTGATGGGGAAAGCTGACTGAGCAAAAACATTAACTGAACTTAAAGACACGCGGAGAACTACGGGCAGCGCCAGCAGAAACGCGGCGCGGGGCACCCAGCGGTAAGCGGCTGCATCGCGCTGCAGTGCCGGGACGGACGCGGTGTAAACTCCGAGCCCCTCAGGGACAGCCGCGCTGCGCGGCAGGAGCCGCGTGCACGCTCGCCACACAACAAGCGTCCGGCCTCGCCGAGCCCACGCGCGTCTCGCGGGCCTTCTAACAAACGCGCGGATCCCGTCCCGCTTCTTCCGCGCCGACACGTGCGCGGGGACGGCCCCGCCTGCAGCGCTCCCTCCCGCCGCCCCCAGCGCGGCCCGGGCCGACGCGCGCTCCCGCGGCGGCCGCCACAACTTCCTGGCGCCCCCTGCGGCGGCGCCCGGCTCGGCAGCGCCACCCCGTGGAGCCGCGAGGCAGCGCCGGGCCCCGTCTCTGCGCCGCTGCCGCACTAGGCCCGTTCCGAGAACCAGGAGACAAAATGGCGGCCGGGCGCGCGGTCACGTGACGCCCTTTGTGCCTTTCGGGGCCCCGCCGGAGGACCGCGAGCCGCCCCGGGGCCCGGGCGGGTGGGAAAGGGGCCCGCGAGAGAGCCCTGGGGGCGGGCGCGGCGGTGGGCAGAGGGGCTCCGCGCTTTCCCTCCCCAGCTCCCCCCCTCCCCCCCCCGGCGGGCGGGGAGAGCGGGGAGAAGATGGCGGCCATTTTGTGCTTGCGCAGAGGCGAAGGTGGGGGCCCCGGGTGCGGGGGGGATGGGGGGACCCGGCCGGGGGGGGGGGGGGGGGGGGGGTCTCACGTACCGACTCCTCTTCCTTCTCCATGCCCGTGGGCATCTGCGGCACGGCCCGGTTAATGGAGGCATATTCGGCCAAGTCGGGCAGGTCCTCGCAGCGGAAGACGGGCAGCGGCTTGGACGCGTCCAGCGCCCGGGCCCGGAACGACAGTTTGCTCATGTTAGGCGGCGATGGCGGCTCCGGCTGGGGAGGGGGGGGCGACAGCAAGAGCGCTCCGAGCTGAGAGCCGGACCTCGCCGAGCGCTCTCATGGAGAGACCGCGGCTCCCCCGGCGGGGCGGGGCGCGCTCCGACACGGGGCCCGGCGGCGCCGGCTGGGCTGGGCGCTGGCTCCGCTCCTCCGCCGCTCCGGCTCCGCTCAATACGCCACGGCCAACATGGCGGACATTAAACCTCGACTGGCCGCCTCTTTCAGCCAACCCCAGCGCCACAGCCATTCCCACACTGCATCGCGCAGGGGCGCGGGCACAGCGCCGCCCGGGGGAGAGAGCGCGCGGCGCGGGCACGGCAGCGCGGGCACGGCAGCGCGGGGAGAGCGCGGGGACAGCTCGCGGCGGCCGGCGGCAGTCGGCGGCAGCGGGCACGGGCGCCGCCGCTCTTCGCGACCCAGCGGGACGGACGCGGCTCCGCTCCGCAGCCTTCCGCTGCCCTCCGCTGCTGCGGGGAAGGCGGCGACCGCTCGTGAGGAGGCTAGGACGTTGCCTCCCGAGGGGAAGCCTCCCCCTGACAGACCCGCAGCCTGTCCCAGGACGCTGGGGAGAAGGGGTGGTAGTACAGCCCGGCCGTTCCCGTCGCCGGAGAGCGGCCGGGGCAGCCCGTCCCGAGCGCGTCGCTCGCTCGCTCGCTTACTCGCCCACTTACCCCTCGGGCCGGCGGTGGGGCCGCCCGTTCCCGTCGGAGCGCGGCGCCCCCACCAACGGCCGCAGCGGCGCCCGCGGGCTTGCGCGGCATTGGAGGGAAGCGGCGCCCCGAGCCCCGCGGCAGCCTTGCCCGCCCCCTCGGGCCCACCGCCTCTCGCTGACCCCAGCGCACGTTCGCGCTCACGGAGGGAGAAAGGCGGAGCGCGACGCGAGGAGCTGCGAGCGGCAGTTAGAGCGCTGAGGTGCGGGCACGTGAACCGCTCCAATTCCCGCCTGCATTGAAGAGATCTCTGCTACCCGCACCAGCGCTCTCCTAAGCGGGACGACACGTCCCGAGCCTGCTTTCTCTCAGTGACATCTCCCGGGCTGCCCCAGACGGCCTTATACGGGTCACAACACACTTCTCCCTGCCCGGTACTGCCGATTCGACGAACGCTACAATCCACGTTATGACCGCTTCTGTTTATGAGATGCGGTAGCCAAAACCTGTTCTTTCTCTATCACATATTACTCTTAGGAAATGGAACTTTAGGAAAAAAAGGATATACAACCAAAAAAAGGATTCGATTCGTTTGCTAATTTTTTAAGCCTGATTTCCCAGCAGGAGCATGGAACTGCTTCACCTGCTGTCACTGGCCCCTGGGACAGGGAGCTCTGCGTGGCAAGTGGCTCAGGCTGTGGGAGACAGCTGCTAGGAAGAATGTCACTTGATTTGAAATATTTTGTTTGCTTGTTTTTGAAAGGATGCTGGTATGAACTGAAGGGTATCATTGTATTCATTTGTGTTTCAGTAATTACAGCAAAGCCAAATGCAAGAATTGCATCTTGCTTTTTATGCTAATTTTAAAGCTTCAGCATTCCCTAGCTGGAAATAGTAATCCTAAAATAAATTGCATGTAAAACTTCTACAGAGTTTTCAACAAATACTGAATAATTTAGTTTATCCAAATAGCAGACAGAAAAGGCAGTGAAAAAGATAAATAGCAGCACATTGTCATACATAGTCTTTGACCTCAAACCCCCAGTGAAAATGAAACACCCGGAAGCCAAGCAAAAAATAAGGCAATTATGTATGATTCTCCACTTTCACTGATGAAAGAAAAACAATACATAACAAAAAGCGAAGTACAGAAAACATCCTCAACTATAGAGTACTCAAGTTTAAGCTTATCCTTAATTGACCTTTGCAGTTCTAACCCCTCTCTGGGCTGAAGTGCAGAGCGTGCAGAACGGACAATAACACTTGGACACAAACAGGATGCAATAAGATGAAATGCTGGCCTCAAGCTCTTTTACTCATCAGCTTTTAATGTTTTACCAATAAAATACTGTCCAACTGTTTTGTGGCAAAAACTGATTAAACCTCAAAATCAGCTTAGTTAATTTGCTGGTGAGATGAGAACTGTGACTTGAGAACAAGGATATTCCAAAGCAATGCAACATCAGCACCAATTTCAGTTCTACAAAGGTGATATCAGGAACAGTACAGAGCTTTTCAGAGGCAGGTATTAAAACAGACTGATAGGTGTTTCCATTTTATCTTCTGCTCTATATCTGCACATGCAGATATATTTTACATTTTGCCATTTTGGAGACATTTACCAAAATACTTTTACATTACATTTGTAGACATCAACGCTGCTCTCTGACAGCAGTCAATCTAAAATTGGTGTCATGTTTTGCATAACAACCCAAAGGCTTTGACAGCTCTCCGTAAAAGATCAGTAAGTGTAAATGTAGCTGCTGCAGAAAAGTACTATTTTCCCTTAATCTTAGCAACAACAAATAAATGCATTTATACTGAATTTTTACATACAAAAGATGTGTCTTTTTACGCTGTGTTGTTTGTCAGGTTTATTAAATGAACAAACAGCATAATGCAGCCTTTCTCTAGTTTAAAGTTGAGAAAGTGTATGGTATCCATTTAAAAAAGTGAAAATTAATGACCTATAAGAGAAGTGAAATGTGATGAATACAATCATTTGAAACCCTGAGGAAGGTTTCTTCTTTCTCTTCTTTCAACAAACAGATGAAAAAAGTTCTATAGCATCAGAGACTTTTCTTTAATACTCCATCTATTTATGATCCCAAAGAAATTATATTTAATAATGAGCTTTATCAAAAAGAAAGAACTCTGCACAATGGTTTTAATATATAATCTGTCTAGATGGTAAAATAAAAGCAGATCTCAATATGCAGTCAAGGCTACTACATTCGGATTGAGCATTATGGGAGGAGATCCAGCAGTTTGTTCCATACAAACCTGCAGACAGTCTCTTACAGCACCCGACTTGGGTTTGCGAAGCCTAATTACTTAACTTTCTATTTTGTTTCTAATTCTAATACTACTGTATTACTACTGTAGGGAACCTGCTTTGGCAGGGGGTTGGACTCGATGATCTCTGGAGGTCCCTTCCAACCCCTACAATTCTGTGATTCTGTGATTCTATAAAGAACCTGACAGCTTCTGTTGTTGTCGTTGTTATTGTTACTGCTGTTTAGTTGAAAATTCATTATTTATTTTGTTTTGTAGATTAAAATTTTTTGGAGTCAAAACCAAAAGGTTTTCAGTAGTTTCATTAAACACTGGTTGTCTCCTGAGCAGATTTCAATATCGTCTCCCATTCTAACAGTGTTTGTGATTTCTAGTCAGAAAATAGCCTTGCATAAAGGCCTTATGGCTTAAATGGTGCACATCACTTTTGGTGCTTTCTGGAATCAAATAGTTCTATAATTTAAGGATATAAAACTTAAGGAGAAAGTTGTTAAACTTACATTCTCTGTTTTTAATATTTTCTTTTTAGTTTATCTCCAATTATAAAAAGGTAAGTGTAATATAGAGGAGCCAAAGGTTGAAATCAAATACAGAACAGAGGCTGACTTGTGTAATGTAAAGGCTAATATTACATGAATGAGTGAGAAAATAAATCTTCACAACAGTATGTAGTATTAACTGTGAACATTCCACTCTCCAGCCTCATTGCAACAGTACTGTGTGTGTGCCCCCCAGCGAGGAGTCAAGCTGATATCAGAAATCCCACACATACTGATATCTCTGGCCACACTTTTCCTGCACTTGCTTGAAACCATAGCAGAAGTTTAAAAGTAGAACATATGAAAGGTAAAGCATGTTTCTCATTCACCAGCCATTTAGAACAGTTGCTACAGAAGACACTACCATGTTTTACTGAGGAAGGTGCTGTGGACACTAAGTTATATGCTACTTTACATATCCATCAATATTTGGAATTTCTGATTTTTTCTCACTCTGGGTCTATCTTATACCCAGTTTCTGTTGTTGCAGAACTCACTCACTCATCGTTTCATTGTATAGCAATTCTGATAAGCTGTTTTTTGCCTCCTAGCTCTGTAAAGGGTGACTACTCTGTACTGATAAAACATATCGTTGATATTTCTTCTCTATTTTCAGTAATCATGTACTGAGAAAAAATCCATTATGAAACTGCCATACTTTGGTTTCATTCCTGAATGACTTACTCCTGGGGTATTCAAAAAAGCATAGGTGGTTCTTTCATCCTATAGTAAGAAGTAATGGACTCTGTATGCATATTTCCAGCTTACATTTGCTAGTAATTCTTCTGTTCAAGTTTAATCATCAGCTATATTTTTTTTATGTTCTATATAGCTACAAATAGCTATATTCATTTAAGTCATCTTGGTGAAGTGCTTGCAGTTTGAATTAAAATGAGCTAAGTGTACGCAAATATGACACTAAAGGTTATTCATTTTATAAGAAGTCACACGACAGTAGTAAGTGGTTGTGTATGGAAATTATCTTAACAGCATAAAGATTTCAACCATAAATGAATTGATGTAATCCGCAGTGCATTTCACCTTCTCTGCTGGTGTCAACTACCTGTTCTAGAAGAGATAATGGAACTGTCAAACAAACTTACAGTGTGCAGACACCACACCACAAAGCTGGTATAGAATGCCTACGGTCTTATGCCGTTTTCTGAAACATTATTTAGTGTCTCATAGCTTTGATATCTCAAAGAATGGAATATTCACCTAGTTATTTTAGGAATCCCTGGTCAAGATACAACAGGTACGAAGCTTGCCTGAAGTTCTTAGTAAATCGTAATTTGAAGTAGCAATTGAGTCAATCTCTGTTCCTCAACTCTTGTCTCAAAGAACGTTCTTCAACTTTTATATGTATGTGTGTATATCTATTTATCTATATACACATACATAGATGTGTACATAAGACAAACCTGACAAATTTTTTATTCTGTAGTGATTAGGAAGGTACGTGTACTGAAAGACCAACTTTTACATTACCTTTTATTTTTCTCTAACCACTTTTAGTTTACACTTCAGAATACAAAACAGAGCTGAGAAGAGATATTAAAGCAGTTGATATTTTATTTCTGTT